ACACACCTTTGGATTGCATTTCGCCGACACCTTCTCCCCCACCCCACCTCCCAGCTCTCGCTCTCTCGCTCCCCCCAGCTTTCCTTTTAGCTTTTGTAAGTTACACGTCAAAATGGCCGATCTGACATCGGTGCTCACTTCTGTTATGTTTTCTCCCTCTAGTAAAATGTTTATCGGTGGACTGAGCTGGCAGACTTCACCAGGTAAGGGAGGGAGGGGGGGACGCCTGGGTCCCCCCCTTCTTGGCTTCTTTATTGCTCTTTGTTATCCCGGTGTAGGAACCCCCCCCCCCGCCATTGACTCCCCACTTCTCCTGTGCAAGGTTATTTTTTTAAATAGCAAATCCTTTCCGAGCCCTCTATGCGACCTCTGTTGCCGAATTTTACCCGCGTGTGCAAGAAATGCAAAAACAAAACAGAATAACAACAGAAAACTACTTTTGGTTTTTGTCCTTGATCAAAATTTGCATTGCTTTTTTTTTTCTCCACACCTTCTCCTCCCCCCCACCCCCATTTCTCTTTCTCTCTTTACAGATAGCCTTAGAGACTATTTTAGCAAATTTGGAGAAATTAGAGAATGTATGGTCATGAGAGACCCCACTACGAAACGCTCCAGGTAAACCATTCTCTTCTAGATTTTGTCTTTATTTTAGAACAAAGTTTAAGTTTTATTTTTGGAGGTGTCTTCGGAAGTAACTGATCGGGTTTAGAATGGGACCCAGGCTTGTGGATGGTTTCAAATGTCTCTCTATCCTCCCTCTCATAACCCTAAAGGTTATTTATTGTTAATTGGGACTGAACTCTGGATACAGAGATGTCCGCTTTAAATCATCTCTTCGCTGCTTTTTCTCCTGTTTACAATGACATTAAGATTCATTCCCTCTTCCATAGTTTTAATTTTAATGTATGCTTCCGCCATACCCCCAGCTCCCCAAACTCTGAAGTCCCTTCTTAGAAAGGTGGGTGAAGCTCTTCTAAGTGCCAGGCTTTCTTCGGAATAAAACAAAGCGTTAAGAAAGGGAAGGGGAGGAGGGGGAGAGGAAACTGAGGTGGCGACCGAGTGGAGACACCAGCGTTTTCCAAGTTACCTCCACCCACCTTCCCCCGTTCCACTTGCCCCAGTAACCTTGGTATTTTTTCTGGATAGATGGGGGCTGCAGAGAGAAGGGGAATTGGGTTGGGGGTTGTGGGGAGTGGGGCTCTCTGTAAGGGGCAACTTTTGCTCCCCATTCTGCATTTGGTCCCACGCCTTGTTGCTTTTAACCGTGTGTCACATTTTCTTGTTGATTTCTCTCCCTCTTTGTCTCATTTCAGAGGCTTCGGTTTCGTCACGTTTGCAGACCCAGCAAGTGTAGATAAAGTATTAGGTCAACCCCACCATGAGTTAGATTCCAAGACGGTATGTTGTTGCTTTTTGTTGTTGTTGTTCGACCCTTTTCAAGAACGATCTGGGCATTGACAGCCTTATTTAAAGGGACAGCACCTTCTTTTGCTTCTATGTTGGGAACTGGGTAGTTGTAGGCAGAGCTTGAGAGTTGCTTGAAAAGTTTGCTGTGATGGCTGGGTTTGGGTTTTCTCTCTAGAGCCTGCTCCCACTACAGCTTCTAATGTTGCCAAGCTGAGGCTTGTGAGGCCCCGGAGATGGTCCGGTTTGGGGAGAGTCTATCTTCCCAGCCAAGGACCTTGCTAAGAAACTCCACCAGAGATCAAATGCAACTTTTCTTTGTCAGCCGAGCATAGCACAAGATACCAACTGTGGCTTTGGGAATTGGCTTTTGGAAGGCACAGCCTGCTTCATCTTTGAGGGTGGGAAGGGGCGGCAAAGAGGGGAGGGGGTGCTAATCATGGGTCTTGGCAACAGGTCCCTCTTGAGGCGCTTTAGTTTGGAATGAGGTTTAAGAAAGGAAGGAGATCCCTCCCAGAACCACACTGGGCATTTAGTGGGTGACTCCAGATGGTGTGAAATTTAAGGCTGATAAGGCCTTGGGTTTCAAAGTGATGCCCTTCTCTCCTCCCACCCTTCTCCCCTCCAGCCCTTTTTTTTCTCAGATTTTTAAATTTGAATGTGGGTACTTTCATAGAATTTGAAGGTTTCTAAATCCAGAGCAGCTAGGAGAGGTCTCTAGGTAGAGATCAGAAGGGGAAGGGAAGAGTGTATATTACAGTTTATTACTCATAGTTGGAAATAAATTTAATGGGGTGGGGGAAGGGGAGTTGTAAGGTTTTATTTAGCTCCCGTGTTGGCTTTGTGACTCTGCCTCCCTCCCTTTTGTGCTTATTAGAATTTCCCTGCGATTTTTATGCATCTGTCTAAAGCAGGGACCCTGAGGTGACATTGAGATGCGGTGCTTGGGCATCTATTTGTAGTTGGGGTAGTGGGATAGGCAAGAGTCAGATTCTTGTCCCTGCTCTCTGGGCCTAACTTGCTCTATGACCTTGGACAAGTCTTTCCCTGTCTCTGGGCCCCTGTTTCCTCTTCAAAATAAAGAAGTGGACTGAGTTAATATTCCAAGCCCCTTTCTACCCTAATACTGACTGGAAGAAAAGAAAAATAAAATAAAAAATAAAAAAAGCATAACCCAATCTTGGCTACCTTTGGCGTACTGAAACTGATTTTTAAAATTCAGCTTCTCTCTCTGATCAAGGAGGTCGGGTGTATGTGCCCCCCAAAACCGATCCCAAGGAGGGGAGAATCATTAACTCTTTTAGTTGCGTAATCAATTGTGCTGGACTTGTCCTCGCTCGTGACCCAGCCTTTTTGTACTTTTAGATAATTTAGTTTCAGGGACAATTACTTGTAGGGTGAAGAATTTTTGTCTCCTTGACTTCTTGACTAAACATTTTAATAAGCTAGCAAAAGTAAAGAGGAAAATCATTCTGAGGCACCCTTCCTCCTCCCACTCCCGCCATCCCCAGGAGTATTTTGTTTCTATGGTGGCTGTTGGGTCCTATCCCTCAGTATCAGGCACAAAGCCTACACAGTCTCTCTCCCCATGTCCCCCAAATTGTTTGTAGACATGTTTTGGTGGTTATTATTTAGTATAACCTAGCTTTTGACTTTGTTTCAACGTTCAGTGCAGGAGGCAGAAGCGATTGGTTTATTGGCATGGAAACGAGGATCTTGTTTACAGTTACCTTAAAAGCTTTGTTTAGGTAACGGCCATTCACATCCCAAATAGTACCCTAGTCTTTTCCTAGAGGATTTGTAGATACAGTAAGTAGAGCTGTACCTAACTAACTAATGTTTTAATTTTTGTTAGTCTTCTTTTTTGTTTGTTTGTTTTTTTTAAATTAGTTTGTCAGGGATGTGCAAAAGGTTGGGATTTGCCATACTCATCTTGACACTTTTTCTCCCTTAGAGAACTTGAGGTGTCAACGTCACACCCCAAAGAACACTGATTGTGGGCTAACGCGCAGATATTGCAACACACAATACAGGAGTTCTGAATTGGCTTTTAATTTTTAAATTTTAGATTGGTTTTTGGTGTTCAGCTTGCTTCATGGCCTTCTTCCTGCTAACCTCCTGGCCTCTTCTACAAGTCACTCACCTTTTATCCCACCAACAAGGTGACTTTCAGTGTTGATATTGCGTGCTGCTCAGCTAAAAAACAACAGACAACAGCAACACCAAAAAAATGTCTACAAAAGCCCAAAAAACATTGGGCGGTGCTTATCAAAAGACGTACCTATCTCACGTTTGGTCAGCAGAATGGAAAATCCACACCTGTTGTATGTCTCTTGCAGACAAGCTCTAGTCAGTGCTGAAAACACCTGTAGATCCAGTAATGTTAATATCTATGGAAGGGTAGTTTCCTAGATCCAAGATTTTTGTCTATCTTCGTCTTTGAAAAAGTAATCTCTCATTTCTCAGGTGATGCTTGGAGGTAGAAACCATGATGCAGACTTGTTAGGTCTTTAAGCTGTCTTAATAAAAAGCGATAAATCCTTGTATGTCTGTCTACTGGCTGGGGTCCTTGGGGATTGGAGTCAGAAACAAATGAACTATCTGTAATGTTTCTCTGCACCCCCCCCTCACATCCCTGCTTCACCCAAAGCAACTCTTGTACCCCAAAGCATCACTCCACCCCTTGCCCTTGGCAGAACTGAAAACAAGGTTCAGATTTATATTTTAAAAGAGAGAAGTTATAATATGAAATCCAGAGCCTATAAATAAATAACCTGAAGGCAATATTCATGTCATGCTTTCAGTTGAATTTTACCCAAAGATTTGTAATATTAAGAAATCAAATGCAAACCAAGTATGGAAATATATTTTATTCCTTCTCTCATATTATTCATTCAGTAGCTATTTTTTTGCCTCTCACACCAGCCTGTTAGATTGAAATTTTTTTTTTTTTTTTTTTTTTTTAAGTTTTAAAGTCAGTCTCTGATTGAGAATCATGTGTACTACAAGTGTCTGATCTGGAGGTTTTTCCATTTGAATCACAGTGGCTTATGGGAAAATACCCGAATTATTATAATATAATCTTTTTTTTTTTTTTCTTTCCCAGTATGGCATTTCTTTTCTAATTAGAGTTTAGGCTGCTCATAGATCCACCTCCCCCCGCCCAGGCGCCCCCCATCCCCTACCATGCAGTTTTAAAATCCAAATGGATTTAGCTCCTTTTATCATATTATTTTCTTATATTATTAAGAACCACGTCAGGCTTCAGTTTTTGACACCAGCGTTCTTTGGTGTATAACTGCAGAATCCATTTTTTAAAAAAAAATTAACCCTAGGTAACTTGACTTGCTAAAATGAGTGAATGATTTATAGCAGACGTCCATCTAGTTGGTTTATGTGTCTATATGGAGTTTTGGGGTGTTGGCTTTAAAAATTTTTGGGAATCCCCTTTCCCTCCTGTGTTGTGTTTAGTGATCTGGGAGATGAAATACCATTCAGTTAGATATTACTGGAAGATACTTACATTTAATTTGCAGGTGATGATTGTTTATTCAATTATAACGATAGCTCCCATCTTTTCTCTCAGCCATGCATCACAAATTAAATGCAGGTATCACTTAATATTCAGTGTCTGGAAGAGAAGCCCCCTCTGAAATAAGAACATATGAGATCTGGTTAATGAAGAGCATTTCACATTGAAATACATGGTAGGACACTTCAGAAAGGCTATCTACATTTGTCATGTTTCAGAAGGGATGACTAAAGTTTACATCTAAGTATAAGGAACTTTTAAAAATTGCTTGAGAAGTTAACTAAAAAATCTGGGTTTTAAGCCTGAGAAATGAGTGATTAATAATTAGGTGATTAATTTTATTATTTTTCTTTCTTGAAAGTATGACACTGACTCCTTGTTTTTCCATTTTCCCCCAGATTGACCCTAAAGTTGCATTTCCTCGGCGAGCACAACCCAAGGTAAGTAGGAGACGCAGTAATAGAATTTTAGCACTCAGAGATGGTTGCTAAGGATTTCAAGTTTCAAACGAGATTGGCATTGAACCGTTTAAACCTGGCCTTCATGGTATCAGCCTGTGGTTGTGAAAGTCCATGGGACAAGTTTTGTTAGGTAATTGTGCATCTCCAAGTTCGCTGTCCTGCCTGGGGTTTGGGCATCGATTGGAGCCTGGGCCACTTCTGTCTGTCCCTTAGCAGGAGGAGCAGGGCTCTAAGGGTTGCAATGTTTATGCACTTGCTAAATGTATTTTCTAAGCATTGTTGAGGTCTAACAGGAAAAGCCGAACATTTCTTTGTGACTTTTGGGAGGGTATTCTTTTGAGGCCTTTATGACTTGGAGCTTATGGAGAGGAAGTCATTTTAAGTCAACAATTTGTCCTGTCTTGGAAAAACCAACTTTGTCGATACCCATAAACCCCTAAATCCAAGAGAAGACTCAGTGGCTGTCTTGACTTCAGGTTGGTTGATTTGGGGCACACTTGAAACCAATTGTGTTTATGTGTACAAGTGTTGGTTCCTGAGCAGAGCAGTTCTGAAAATGTTGTAGCCTTGCAGCAGTGGTACTACAAGACTTGCTTAAAGTTTTAAGATAGGGCTTCACTTTTCTAGAAGTGTGTAACAGTTTTCTTTGAGCTCTCCTGGTGTCGCTGGAAGAACACAGTGGTGCCTAGCCTAATGTGAAGGACTATGGGTCTTGAGTGTTAAATTTACACTTTGTAATTACTCTTTTTTTCTTCCCTATAGAACATTGAAGAGATACTTTTTCTTCATCTTATGGTCTTGGAACTCTTAGTGAAAGGGGAAAAGTGGAAGCTTCTGATGGGGTCTCCAAGGGAATAGGCTTGTGACTTTAAGAAATTCAGTTTGTTTCTATAAGCTCAGGCTCCCAGAAGTGGAACATTTCAATAGCAGAAAAGGACGACTGGTTTTACACATTAATAAAGAAAAAGTTGACTGTTGCAGATAATATTTTGAGACTTTCAGGTCTTATAGCCTGCCATATCTAGTGTGTGTATTAGAAACTAAGAGGCCTGGTTTGGTGCTGTAGGGTAAGCACCAGGCTGCTAAACAGAAGATCAATGGTTCAAACCCACCAGCTGCTCCTCGGAAATGCTATATAGGGATGCTGGGTGTTGGAACCAACTTGATGACAGTGAACAACAACACTATCCCCATTTTCTAGATGAGTAGACTGAGGCACAAACGGACTTTGAAGCAGTTCACAGCCTGATTCTAGAACTGGATCCTTTACTGTGGGGGTGTTGTTCTGTTATGGAAGAAGAAACGGGTTTAGAGATGTCAGTAGAGGTTTCCTTCCCTCTTCCCTCCCTTTCCTCCCTCCCCCTTAAAGAAAGAAATACGAATCTCAAAGTTATTATAGTGAACTATTCTAAGGCATTTTTCTAATGTTTAAGCAAGTAATAGGAATTAATGAACCAAAGAGGTTAGATGATTTCTGTACTTAGCATAAACTTGGGTAGTGTCTTACCGATTTCAATACTGCTTTCTAAGCCGTGTGTCATCCTTAACGTAACAGAATGCTTCTTAGACCGAGCAGTATTTTCCAGGTTTGGTAGAATGACTCTTTCTTCTAGAAGTGTGAATCTAAAATTTCCAGGGTAGTCATTTGATCACCCAGAACTAGGGTCAAGTTACCCTAGAGGGAAATGGAAGAATCCTAGATTTGGTCAAACCATGGATGGTTCCTTTTCCTTTCCCCCCTTGCTGCTCTTTTTCCCCCTTATAAAGCAGGAAGGCAATATTTTACCTTCATATGCTATGGCATTTGGTTTTTCAGTGATGCATTTAACTTAAAAATGAGAGAGGCTATTTCTCAAACTTCCCAAAATGTGTCCCCCTACCCTGGCATGGTATCCCCGAGTCTGATGAATTGTCAGGCTCATAGATGGAAGTTACTGATTCCCAGAACCAGTTAGAGGAAGACACCTTTCCATGAAGTTCTAGGGATTTCATAACAGTATCTTATTTTTGATGACACTTCACTTTACGGAGGAGTTTTCCATCCATTATCTTCATCTGATACCCAGCTCTGCTGCATTTGGTTGTTTTCTTTGAGCAGATGTACTTATTTGTCTCAGTTCCCTCATCTGCAAAATGGGAATGACAATAGCTCTTTCCAAGGATTGTTATGGAGAACGACAGAGCCTGGCACATGGAGAGGGCCTGGTAACTCTTCTTCCTCCTCCTCATTATTATTATTGGCTTAACTGACATCATTGTTATTGTTTTAAGTAAATCTGACCAAGTTCAGCTGTGTGAATTTGGGCAAATTGTTTAACTTCCTTTCCTAGCGTTTTTCTGTGGATTTAATAGATGAGCAAAGGTAAAGTGCTTACATGCTTAATAAATACAATAGTATTACCCGATAGATGCATTTAAAAAATATTTATCATTGTGAATTGAATGAAGGCTTACACAGCCGAAGGTCAATTTTATGTTCAACAAATCATGCACTTAGTTTCATCACCATGATTACAATTCCCTCCACTTAACAACAGTTATCCCACTTCCTCCTTGTAGTTTCTATTCCCATTCCAGCCTCCTTCCCATCCCTTCTCAACTTTATCCTTAGGTAAATGTTGCCCTTTTGAATTTGAATGATTGACCATTCCAAGGTGAGCATGCCTTACTAGAGTTGTTGTCTCCCCTATATGCCTGTCTACTGTGTGGCTGAAAATTGGGCCACGAGAGTGAGTTCTGTTCCAGACCTGAAGGGTGATCGAGGGCTGTTGGTAGTCTCAGGTTCCTCCAGTCTCTTTCTGTAAGCTTGCCTTTTTTAAAAAATATTTTTGAGTTTTGTTCCATTTTCTCCCATTCTATCCGGCAACTTCTAATGTGATTCCTTTCAGAGCAGTTTGTTACCTGATACTTTTAGTATAATTTTTATGAGGTATTCATGCTAGTCCTGTGAGAGGTCTATCAATAATAAGATTACATGAATTTTTTGTGCCAGGCATGGTTCTAGGGACTTTACACCTATTAGGTTCCAGTCCTCTCCCCATTTTATAGATGAGGAAATTGAGGTGCAAATGGATTGGAAAGTGGAACCTGGCACTTACCCCTGCCCCTGAGACACTGTCCTGTGGCCATCTGGCTTTGTTATAGATGGGAAGCAACTCAGGTCAGCAGACTGTAAGGGGCAGAACCGCAGTCAGTCGCAGAACTACTCATTCGACATTCTTGGGGCTGGTGATTCACCCTCCTTTGATGTCATCCCATTGTGTGACACTGTCTTGGAATAGCTCTTCATCTGACCCTCAGGGCATCCTTTCGGAGGGTTTGGGGTTGCTCAACTCCAGTGAGGCAACCCAGTAATTGATGAGATGTATGGTGGCTGGGAGTTGGAACTGGGTGAAGAGAAAGTGCCTTCTCTGTCGCTGGATATTTTCCAGTAGAATTTGACCTTGGTCACAAATAAGATTTCAGACTGAAGTTAGTGTTGGGGGTCAAAAACTGGCTGGCAGGAGTACAGACTTTTCAGTCAAGCCTGGTTTATGTATTATATATTTATTTCCCTTAAAGACAACTTGTCGGTGTATGCGTTAGGATCCCACTGCCAGGGGGATCCTTATCCCTCATGGACTTGGTGAGGAGCTTGTAAATAATATGTCAGCCTATGTTTCAGTTAAAATTCATTTCTCTTTTCCTGGCTGTCCCCCCTTGCTAATGCTTGCCAGAAAAATATTCCGTGGAGGTGTTAAGACAGGATGAGTGGAAAGAAACTGTAACTCAATACAAAAGAAAATCCACAGCGGTGAAGAACAGATTTCATATTCACTCTGTCATAATATTCTTTAATGTATCATATAAATAAAAATCTGTTTTGATCAGAATTTTAATGAGCGACCGAGGGAAGGGTTTTGAGCGGTTCATTTATTCCCCTTTGCGATGTAAATGCTCACATCTCAAGTGTACTATAATAGGGTTTTATTAACTAGTCGGGCGACTCGTCTGAGACCAGTGGCCATTAATTAGTGAAGTGCATTTTGTCAGGAGAAGTAAGATAGGTCTATTTCTTCCTATTTCTCCTGATGGTTATTTCATTTTGTAAAATATGTAAAAGGTTTCGCCCCCTCTATCATTTTAAAAATTAAAATGGTCATGTTGCTCTAAAAAGATGACTTAATTTGAAGCCATTGGAGAGGGGAGGATGATGGGAATCAGTCATGTTGTATCCTTCCCTTGGTCCCTTTGGGCAGAGACAGAAAGTCTCTGGGCTGCCGGCAAGGATTGTGCTCAAGCTGTGGGTTCATTTTCGTGGGTAGAGAAACCATGAGGCTGCCTGGTACGTATCTTGTGAGACTCCCTAGTATCTTGCGGCAGAGTGAAGTCTGGGTGCAACTCAGCATCTGTCTCCTAATTATCCTTGTGTTTTACATAGTCTTCACACTTCCCTTGTTTCCATTTTCCTCTGCAAGTTTAAGAGGCCAGAACTTTATCTGTTGATGGAGATTTCATTCCTTTACCTAACTCCTATCTTTGCTAAGCTGGATAACCATGGGCAGATCACCTAAGCTCTTCCAAGCCTCAGTTTCCTCCTTGGCACAACGGGGCTAATAATAGTATTCACCTCATGGAATTGTTTTGAAGACGAATGCAAAATTCTTTGCCAGGGGCCTGGCACATAGTAAAATCAACCAAACCAAACCCCCAAAACACTCAAGTCAGTTACCATTAAGTCGATTCTGACTCATGACAGCCTTGTGTGCAGAGTAGCACTGCTCCACAGTTTTCATGGCTGTGACTTTTTGGTAGCAAATCACCAGGCCTTTCTTTTTTTAAAATGTTTTATTGTGAATTATGTGATAGCTTACATGGGAGCACATTAGTTTTACATTCATCCTATCGTATATTGTTTCATTGTCATGGTTACAGTCCCCTCCATGCATCATCAATCAACCAAAGGATATACCCTATAAGCCTGTCCCCCCGGTCGTCAG